GAGGAAAAACTTTCTCAGATACTGTGTCAACATTTCATCTCCAGTTTACATAAAGAAGGATTGCATGTAAGTGTAGTGTATGCTTAATGTCGCTTTGCAAATCGAGTGAAAATTATCCTTTCCTTTTTATTATTACACTTCTCTGACCAAAGGTCTTGAGAAAAGTCAAAAATAAATACAAGGTAAAATACAAAACAGGAAACATTAAATTATAACATGACAAATTAAAACCCATCTTTGTAACAGCATAGAGAAACCGCATGCTAGAAATTTGGCAACAAAACACGTTATTTCCAGATTGGTGTCTGCCAGCAAAAAAGAAATCATGCAGGATTCTGCAGGCAGCAGATATTTACTCAGGATAGGCGTAATGAGTGAAAATTATCACGTAAGTAGAACGTCTACAATGACGTACTAAGCGGAGTCACACACTTCTAAGACCATTGCCTTCTATGGATTTAGAAGGGTGCAACTCTGCTTAGGAGGCCACTGCAAGTAATCTACAGTTTTCAGGTGCCATTAGGGGTAATGCCACAAGCCCTTTCCTGACAGCTGTATCTCCCCTCTCTGTGCAGCACCTACCACCTTTCTGCATTCTGCCAATTTCCTTTTCATCTTCTTTCTTGCTCCTTGCATTCCCAGACACATGTTCCCTCTCTCTCTGTCCTTCCTGCACCTTTCTTTTTGTTCCACACAAGTCCCCTCTTGGCTTTCTCTTTTTCTTTCATGGACGTACTCTTTGTTGAGAAAGCTAGCCAAGAAAGACCTGGAAGGATGGATATTTCATATATTTTTCCTACAAGGCCTCTGAAGCATCTTAAAGGCAAAAATTATAATTAAAATAAATATAAGCCAACTCTCACACAGATTGTTGCTAAAACAAACCCAGTAAAATAGCAGTCACATCTAGACTATGCCCTCTGCCACCTTATTTATCTGATGCCATGTTTTCCTAAGTGGCATTTCCAGGGAAAGTGACTGTTTATATTGGGCCTCCTGGAACACCTAGGCTAAAATGAGGCCTGTTGCCTTTACTTCAGCTGCAGCTGCTGTGGAGATGGAGAGACAGCAGTCTAGGGGGACCTCTCTTAGGTCTAACATAGCTAAGAAGAAGCCCCTACCCCAGTAATATCACTTGTTCTTTTGTTTTCTTGGTGTCTACTTCAGTGGGAAGGGGCTGTTGGTGGTGCTAAAGAAGGATACCGATGAGAGTTGCCAGGCAGCCATATCCTGGAGGAGCCTTCAGTGAACAAGAGGATTCATTCACGTTGCTCTTAATTCCTTGTTGCTGGCCACCTTGGATTCTTTTATGGGCTGAAAGGCAGAATACAACTGCAGCAAAGGAGGTTTCATCTACGTTTGAGGAAGAACTTTCTAGCAGTGAGGTGTGTTCAACAATGGAACAGTCTAGCTAGGTGTAAAATCAAAGGCACAGTGGCAGAATCACAAAAAGTTCACTTAAGCCCTCTTGCGATTCTTAGCCTGCTTCCTAAAACCTGTAAAAAGATGCCTTGCAGGCTTCCCTGAGAAACGATTTCTATATAGAAGTACCACAACTCCAAGCACCCACCATCTGGTACTTAACAGCCAAGTTTCCCATTAGGGTTATCTACTTTGGGTTTAAAAACCTCAGCACTCTTTTTCTCCAGGGGAACTGTTCTCTGTTTGGTGTAGTGGTTAATCTGGGAGAACCGGGTTTGATTCCCCACTCCTCCACTTGCACCTGCTGACCACTTGGGTCAGTCACAAGTTCTGGCACAGCTGTTCCTGAAAGAGCAGTTTCTGTCAAGAGTTCTCTCAGCCCCACCCACCTCACAGGGTGTCTGTTGTGGGGAGGGGAAGGGAAGGGAAAGGAGTTTGTAAGCCGCTCTGAGACTCCAAGTGAAGGGCGGGATATAAATCCAATCTCTTCTCTTCTTCTTCTTCTCTGTTGTCTGGAGATCAGTTGCAATTCCAGATCTACAGGCACCACCTGCGGGTTGGCAACCCTATTTCCCATAGCTATGAAAATTAGAGCAGGGCCCAATCAGATGACCCACATTCATGGGAGAATCTAGTCCTTAAGGCCTCTGAGTTCTGGTGCTCTGTTACCTTTTTGTTAATATAGTCTCATAGAATCCCAGCAAGAAAAACAGATTGTTGTTTACTTTCTCACCTCACTGACAGTAAAGCTAGTAACTGTCATCTTCTATGTTTGTGATACTTGTACAAGACTCTTGTATGTACTTCTCAGCAACAAGTCACAACAGGTTTGCTGAAACAAACACAAAATGTCTGGTTCTGCTTTCTTTTGATGCTGCAAGAAATGCCTTGAGTAATTAGAGGGGTTTGATTATACTTGTGAGTTGAAAGGCTTCACTTCAGGAGAGGTACCTTAATAAACTGTAGTAACCTGCACAATGCATTTTGCATAACAAAATACTGGGGAGTTCCCAGAATAATATTTACTGACAGGAACTTGGATAAAATAACTGGGTTTAAAATAAGGTTTTGGGACATAATGTGGGGTGAATGACTCTCATCAGTGACTAATGACATACTTTAGAACACAACGTACCCTATCAAGTATTGATGATTGTGACAGCAGTATATTCTCAAGATGGTGGCTTAGCTTGTAAAAAAGAACAAGCTGGGTAGTTTCTCTTGTCACCTTACACTGCTAGTCCAGTTTTAGTGTTGTTAATCTGCACTCATCCCAGTTAAAGTGAAAGCAGCATTTAACCCCCACCCCCGCTTGTCTATAAAGGCAAACAGCTTTTATTTAATATATCTATTTAAGACATTTATTAGCCATCTTTCTATTGTATAAGAACTCAAGCCAGCTTACAATGTAAATAATAATAAAATATAATGAAATACTTAAAAACCACAAGTTAAAACAGTAATTTAAAACTATTGGTAGGCAGAAGAACTAATCAAATACTGTCAATATTTTGTGGTTTCTTTCTCAGTATTGAGCTTGTCTTCCTTCAGAATTCCATTTGTGAATAGTGATGCCCCCAGGACCCTCACCCCACAGGGACCCTTGTTTTTGTAATGTTTGACCCTATTTTGTACTCGTGTACTTCTCAGCATGGACCTAGAAATGATAGATGGGGTCTGTATTAAACAAATATCAAATGGCAGTGAGTGTCTCTAAGGGTGTAAAGGAATGCAAGGCAGCTCCTCCATTGATCATGCAAATGGCCTATCCTCAACTGAGGGCCATTTCCCCCAAGGATGCAAGAGCCTCCTCCCTGATAATATGGTCTTAACAAACAACTCAGATCTCCAAACCATAAGCAGCAGGCCAATTCCAGCAATTTCCCCCACATCTTAATGACTGGACAGGAATGCTATTGCCCTTCCGTAATCATGGCAAGTGCCCAGCCATAGACACGTATCTAACTTCCAAATCTCCCCGAGGGAACAGTCCTGCATAAAGGGAACTCCTCTCCACAATACAAACAAAGAATCTCTTTTCAAACTAGCTCATCTTCAAAAAAAGATTGAATTTTCATCACTCTCACATTCCAGTGTCAACATGTACCCCCCTTCTCTTCAAAACCAGGTTCATATGCTTTTGTTTTCCCCTTTCAGTTTTCCCTTATAGCAGATAGTAAAATGACCCAAAACCTTTCCCTAATAAACTAAACTTGTTTTTCCTTCCTCTAAGTCTTCATTTTACTCTGCAAGTTGCTTAATTTAATTTGATTTCTTTTATGTTGATTAAATCCAATCCTTTTGCTGGTTAAGAAAGCTTATTCCCTTGGTGTGCATAGGGTTAAAGACAACAGATATATTTTAAAGTACCCCAAAATACCCGTGTTTTCTCCATGGTGGCAAGGGGATGCTTTTGCAAGTAACAAGACCTTTATGTGTATGCCAGTTTGGGTACAGATTCTTTTCATTTTTTCCCCCTCGTAATAAGTTGCATAGCCAAGAAAGCCCTGCAGGATGCTCTTTGTCCTCCTCCCCATGCCCATGTGACTAATGGCTTCAAACTGGTGCATGAAATTCCATCCCTCTTTGACATAGCCAGGCCCTTAGTTTATGGTACCCCATGTCCTACATGTTCCCTTGCTTATCCACAACCTTCAGCCATTCCTACCTCTCTAGGTCTTAGGTTTGTCCCAATTTTTTTCCTGTTAGTTTATTCAGGAAGATGTTAATCCAGCAAACAATAATAAAACACTACAAGCTCATGTACAAGTATGTTGCAATGTCTCCATAAAGATGCTAATTGATAGATATAGAGATGAAATGTCTCCATAAAGATGGTAATTGATAGAGATGCAAAGTAATCAGTAAGTCTTACAAACTGTTGTGGAAAAGTGTTTTTTGGGGGGGAATAAGCATGTGTTCAGTTTTGGATAACTCCATATTAGTGCAAATTTTGTTGCATAGCTTATTTTAAGTGGGTTTGATTCTGTGTAAGAAAAGCAGGGTAAAACTTTTCTAAATGATTTAAAAGTTCAGTTCATACCAGCAGATTATGACAGCTGTGTCTCCATACACATCTGTGTTGTTTGAGGCAATAGTTCTACAGCAGAAAGTCTTCAGTTTTAGTGTGTGCATGTATGTACACACACTCACATACTTGATGGTAGTGGGGGGACACAAGTCAGGGACCTCAGAGTGTCATTCACTGATCCCACTGTACGTGGTTCATTTGGTCATCTGACTGCAACCGCTCTGAAAACAAGAAATAGTGAGTTGTGTGGCTATTGCAAAACCCAATTGATTTGTAGAGTATATTTTATGGTGCCTCTTTACCACCACAGGGAGCCTGTTCCAGCATTATCGCTGCATGGAACAGAAACTTCTATGTGTATGAAAAAGGCAGAGCTGAGGGGCTTCCCATGCTGAATGCAAAGGCCACTACCAATTTCTCTTCTTGCATCATGTGGTCATGAATATATACAGCTAGAGTAAGACAGAGTGAAAGTGAGAAAATTTGGTGATCCAGTTGTGCTACATTTGTTGCATTTTCTTCATTATTTTTTTAAAAACTTTTCTAGGAACTTGAAGAATTTCAGACCTTTGTGAATAAGCATCCTCCTTTCGATATTGTGATAGATGGACTTAATGTTGCCAGGAGTTTCCGCAAATACAATCCATCTCAAACTGTAAGTGCTGTTTTACTGTTTCTAAGAAATTGTGTGTCTCTGTATAAAAGGTATGCATGTATATGTATATTTTACTGATAAATGAGTGTGGCAATGAATCCATGGACTGAAGCAGAAGATAGAAATCATATTAAAAGAAACCTGGGTGAAGCAGGTAGTAGCTGGGTTTAGTTTAGTAACAATTATGTATCAGCCTCTTCTATATGGAAATAGAACTCTTTAACTTCAATCTATAACGTGTTCATCCCAGCAGTGTGATTCTCCTGCCTTGCTTATTTTTGCCAGATAAATAGCTGAACTATTAGCATACTGCTGTGCCTACGATACCTACGAGCCTACAGTTCATTCATGTGGGCACGCTGTGTGTAGAGTCTCTATGTGGGGCTGAACTGGCCATGAGAGGGAGACATATAGTGCAATCCTAAGCAGAGTTACACTCTTCTAAATTGATTGAAGTCAATAGGCTTATAAGGGTTTAACTGTCAGAATGTGGGGGTACTTTCCAAAATTATGAGATAAAACAGGAAGTGTACAAATTGTTCTCTTGTGTGTACAAGCCGAAGGAAAGTTTCTTATCCAAGGTCTGGTGCACCAGATGCTTCTGTCTTACTTAAAGAAAGATTCCCGAAAGGTCAGCATCATACATAATGCATTACTGGGGCAGGCTGAAACTGTGGCTGGCTGTGGCCACTGCCAGCCATACCTGATTCTAGACCTGCAGGGTGCATTGTCCTGCTCTGTGGCCTTCTGGTTGGGAGCTGAAGGCTGAATTGCAGGAAGCTCTGCTGTGCCAACCTGGCAAAACAAAGGCTAGGTTTCTAGCACTCATGTCACACCTGACCAAATGAAGGGTCTTATGAAGTGCGGGCCAGTGCTGCACTACGTTGCTCCTCTTGTTTCTGAAGAGAGGTTTTTGAGAGAGACCACAGATGCTCAATAGTGTAGGCTCCAGCCTCAGACCCTGTGAATCCTGGTAGAAGCCCCCAGATCTGTGGTGAGTTGATGCCCCCTGTGCTGTCCTTTTACACGTGGGCCACTGCTGACAACTGGATTGCCAGTCATCCTAAGCAATACTACTGCTTCCATTTTCCATTTTATTTCAAATGAAATGCTGGCTGTGGAGAAAGTGAGGGAGAGAGAAAGAAGGAAGATAGGAAGGCAGAGTGACTGACTGAAGCTTATTAATGCTGTCTGTTTGACTCTTCTCTTGCTACACATTATATTGTCCTTGTGGGAGGGGGGCAGTGTTTGCCCCAGTACTGTTGACCAGGCATGGACATTCTGTGTTCAGAAATTTTAGATAAGGTCAGGAAGATGGCCAATAGCCCATCCAGTTTAACACTCTCTGTCCCACAGTGACCCAAACCCAGATACCATCAGGAGGTTCACCAAAAGAGCCAGAACTACAGAAGTCCTCCCACTGTTTTTATTTTTTATTTTTATTTTATTTATTATATACTGTTTCATTTTATATATTATATACTGTTGCCCCCCAAGCATTAATTCAAATACCTTTATTGGCATAAAAAGAAAAAAGGTACAACATGGCAAATTTACAGAGAGTTTCAATTATAAAAATCATCAAACATCAGATAGAAAAACTAAACTTTTGTTCCCTGATTGTTATGGCAGCCAAGAGGTACCTTGCAACTGAACTTGTAGTATGGGAACATGGGTCAGATAATAAAAGAGGTACTAACCGCCTCAGATAGATGGTGAAAGTTAGACACAATTGGTTTAATCAGGGGTCATTTCCTCCCGGAGCGCCCCAGAGCTTTTGCATAGAGACTGGGTGTGTGTGTGTCAGCATAACTTATTTGCATATGCCACACCCCCTAACATCACCAGAAGTGTGTCAGAAGGCAACACCCACCGCTCAGGCTCCACTGGACATTTTTGGATTGCTAGCTATTGGGGGGGGGGATGTGCAGATCTGTCCTTGCAGAGGAGGGAGAGCTTGTACCTGAATAAAACTTGGTCTTAAAGGTGCCACTGGACAGGGGGGCCTGGGGGGGGGGCTCTGCAACGTACCTGGCTGCTTCTTGCTCTGACTGAGGGCTGCTGGGAGCAGGGGGTGGGGCTTGTTGCATGTGCCCGCAGCCTGCCCCCTGGGCTCTTTACTGCCAGAGCTCCGCTCCTGTGCGCTCCTGCAGGAAGTGACCCCTGCATATACCTATGGGAATGATGACTCATTCAAAAATGCCATTGGCCCTGATGCTACGAGGGCTTCATCATTCCGCCCAATATGGGCATTAAAATCACCCACTAGCAGTAGCTGTCAGAACCCACAGCCAACAACAAAGTACACGCATTCAGGAACGGTAATACTTTTATTGCAGAGCTATAGATGCAGTAACATAAGCACTGTTAAGAATGGTGGTGGCCCCATGGGCATAATAGGGTATAGGGTATTCGTATGCACCCCCCCAGAGCACTGGCCAATTAGGCACCCTCCCGTGCATGGGATAAAGCTTGGAGACCGTTAGGTAGCTGAAGCTGAGAACCAACACTCTCCCACGGCACCTAGGAAAAACCCAGACAATGCAATTCCCTTCTGCACATCTGTATAGATAAGCATTTTGGCGCAAAGCAGAAAAAGCACAGAAAGGAATGCAGTAGCAATTAACCAGACACAGACCGAGCTCCCCAACCCCCATGGCAGCGTAGCTGACAGTAGCAAGGCTCTCAAGTGCTGTGCAGTAACTATCCAAAAAAGTCCCCAACTTGTTCCAGAGTGCCTGGATTTCACTGTGAGATATTAATGGAGGAAGACAGATGTAAAAAAAGAAAATGATGGGAGCTGCAACAGCACTGTGAGTACAAACTGTGAGGTGGCAGTTAAAGTTATATGGGAGCAATTACGTGCTGTTGAAACTAAGCAAAAGTGTCGCAGTTTATTACTCTTAGAAGGATACTTTTACACATCTGTCTCCTATTTTGACATATTTATTACTACACTGTTTTCCCCCCAGTTAAAGCCAAACAAATGGTGACCTTGTCATTGCTGTTTAGCCTTTGCATAAGTCAAAACATCTTCATTAAGCTGTATGCTATTTTGCTGTTCACCTATGTAGAGGCATCTGCCTATATATATGAACTGTTAATTTCCATTTCAGTGTATCTGAGGAAGTGTACACATACACAAAAGCTCATACCTTGAATAAACTTTTGTTGGTTGTAAAGGTGCCACTGGACTCAAAATTTGTTCTCCTGCTTCAGACCAATGCAGCTGCCCACCTGGATCTATTGTTCTGTAAAGTTAATGACAATGAATGGATGCCATTTGCAATACTATATTAGGCAAACGTGGTATTTTAAAGTTGCAACTGGTGGTTTTTCGTTCTTAGCTATGTGTCTCCTGTGAAGGGGTACTGTAATCACCAATCTGATATGGAACGAACAAGTGATGCAAGTGATACCATGGAGAGTGACAGTGATACAGAGGTTGTGACAGGCTGGTGTGTTGTATCAGCAGCAGGAATGGGGATTCCACATGGCAGTTTTTCCCTGTTCCAGTCCCCCAGCAGCAGCTACCACTACAACTGGGAGGGGAGAAAGGGGAAAGACATAGTGCTACAATGAAAGGGGCTAGAGACTTGCTTTTTTCAAATGAAAGCTGGGAATTCAGAGATCCTGACAAATAGACTCTTATAAAATCCACTTGATTTAAAAATTTTTAAAGGCCTCCTGTGCTGGGGGTAGCCACTGTGAAGACGGGAGCAGGGAAAATGGCTTCTGTGACGACCTCTTCTCTGGGGAGGTCTGGTTTTACTTTAAAAGTTCTTATGCTTTATTTTTCTTCAGGTATTCTGGCTGCCACCAGGGAAATTTAGGCTTTCCCACACCTTTTCTATAATATTTTTCCTCTCTGGGTAGGTATTGTGACCCAGGGTCTGGGCTTTCGAAGGACCATGTGTTTCCTGAGGAATTTCGTTCAGAACTGTTATCTGAAATAAAAATAGATTTATTTGATGTTTCACACACTTCTCCCTCTTACTGACAGGGATCTGGGCATGTCGTTTTGTAACAATATTTTCTTTAGACCATATATGGTTACTGTTTCTGTATGCTTTAACTTCTCATAACACACAAGAGACTGCTCTCTTTCAGACCTTAAAACGAACAAACTGCTTATCTCTTTTACTAGACAGAACTTATAACATCTGCTTTCACATAGCACTCTCTGCTGACTCTCACTGTTTAACTGTTATATATCACTAACTCCTTAACTGTCATCATTAACTGTTACTTCTGATAGACATCCAAATCATCCACACAGCATCCATTCCAAAACCCCTCCCCCTCTCTGTCACTCACCAATCATATCACTTGCCTGAGTCCAGCATCCTAGTCTGTCATACACCCATACAAACCAAACTTTTAAACACACACACACACAGTAAAACATGGAATCGTTACAGCTTCCATGTGGGCAGGACCAGGTAAACCCAACCTTTCCTGCTTACATAGCACCCATCCATGTTTTGCTGTGCGGTTTCCAAAAATTTTGCAGCAAAGTGGCAAAGATCAGTAAAAAAGCTGGGGAAAACTAAAGAGGTGCTTGAACACACCATAATGTGGTTGAAACCCACAGTTTTCAACAGCATTGAAACCAGGGAGAATAACCCATGTGAAGAAAATTCTGAGGTGCCCCACTGACATCCATGAAAGAGAGTTAAATTCTGTTGAAACAGATGAGTGGACAACCATGTCCATGGCACAGTTCTTTTGTGTGCTAAAATTATTGTGCATACCTATGCAGAGTTAGTTCAGCCAAAGCCCACTGACGTTTATGAGGTTAGGCTGGAATAACTCTGTATAGGATTTCCCTGTTAATGTATCAACAGTTTTCAGTACCTTTGGGTTTCTCCCATACTACCCACTATATTTTCTTTAAGTCTTTGTATTAATCTTTATAATATGTATATTATTCCAATAAAAAATAATTTCCACATAAAGTTTGAATTTGTTTAAATGTACCTTTTCAATTACAGTTGGTTCTGTTTTTTCCTCTTCAAGTATTTCAGTTCCAGTATTTTAGTTATTGAAACATACTTGGGTGCTTTTACATTTTTGTTTACTAAATATGTGAAAATAGATATGCTAAATGAGATCATTTACCACATTCATTTTGACAATGAAGACCTTAGACATTTTTAATGAAAAATTGGAGAACTTTCCAGAAAACATTCCCAGACTGTTTTCCCCCGGAATACCCATACCTTCCCATTGTCAGCCAAATTGTCGACTGGGGGGGAGTTCCTGCCACTTCCTGATCTTCCATAGAATGCCCATTTTGTTTGAGCCACATCTGTCTCTTCCACTCCTTTAGCAGATTAGAATCTGTCAATTCCTACCTTGGAAAATTGTCACTGAGTGCCTCTGCAGTTACCCTTTTTCTTTCCATAAGTACTTCAATTTTTGGCCTATACCAATAGTCAGGGGTCATTTCGTAGAAAAAGAGCTAGGGGGACTCATTAGCATAACTCATTAGCATATGCCACACCCCCTGACATCACCGGAAGTGTGTCCTCCCCACAGCTGGCGGCGACCTCCAGCGGGCACCAGCAGGGAGCTCCAGGCCCCCCCCTCCCGCACCTCACCCGGGGGGATGGCGTCCCCCCGCGTCCCCCCCCAAATGACCCCTGCCAATAGTATTCCTTCTAATTTGCTTGCACACTTTATGTCTGTCTGAACATCTGTCCTTTAAGTTCTACTTTTGCATATTCCTCCTGGTCACCTGTTCTGGTGGGCTGGTCATTGAATGTTTGCTGCAACAGGCCAAAAGTTCATTGTTGCATTAACTTCTTGAGTTAAAGTCACTTTGCCGAGTGCAGGATGCAAGCGGATTGAACATGATCCCATAATTGTTTGCTTAGGTAAGAGCACAAAAGAATAGGAAAGGAAGTCCCTGGTCTTGCTGGTTTGGGAAGAACCCTTTATCATTTGGGTGACCCTTGTGCCTCCATTCCATAGATGTTACAGGAATAGTGTGGGATTTCCATGAGGAAGCAAATCCAGAATTATTCCAGTGACAGATGACTCAGGCCTTAGTAAGTAACAGGAATGTCCCGTACTGGATGTCCCTGAAATAAGTCATAACGACCACTGGGGGCTAGTTTAACTTCTACAGGAATACTGGATTTGCAGCGCTAAGGCAGGTGTAGTGCAGACCCTCTTTTCCTTAACTGCTGTCTAATCCTGCCTGTTTGAAGAATGCTGTAGTCAGTGCAAGTTGAACCAGGATGAATAATCGCTCCGTTCAAGGAACTCTTTACATGGCGGTGTTCTTGCAGTACAGTCATGATCAAAGTTCTAAATCCATTGGCTTCTATAGAGGTAGAAGAGTATAATTCTGCTTAGGGTTGCACTGTTAGCCTGATGGTATCAGATCTGGGGAATTCATTAGGGTTGGGTAGTATACAGTTCAGTTTCTGCCACTGCAGATCAGTCTGACTAAAAACTATAAAGGCAATAACATTTTTTGTCTCTATAGTGGAAGTCTTTTTTGTTTGTTTGCTTGTTTGTTTGCTTGTTTGTTTGTGTTTTGACAGCTACAGTTTTTTTAAATCTTTCCCAGACTAAACAGACACGAATGGTTCCCTTTACCTCTTTCTCATAAGAAAAAGGTTGGGTTACAAAGATCCAAGTAAGGTGAATTCCTGGTTGAACAACAATACAGACTTTCCTACACCCTTATTATTTAATTGCTGTGTAACATTAAAGTTGTCAAGAAATTTGCCTTACAATATACAAATGGGGAGAGGGAGAAAATGGCAAAAATGTAGGATATGTTCAAACTGATTACATTGATTCCTTCGCATTTTGAAATTTAAGGAAATTAGATGTCTAACTTTAAGGTGTTCCCAGGCAACTTGCATCTTTGCAGCTACAGCATAGGCGGGCAGTAATTATAAGTCATAATACAGAGAACAGCATATGAGCTTTGTGTCTGAAACAACCTTTTTTGTCGTTAAGCACTAGCGTTATTGGTGGTCACCAAATTCTTCCTTTAAGAAATGGAGATGGAAACACAATTGTCAAGTCAGATTTCAGGGATGGACTATGTCCGAAATACATAAAGCCAGAAGGATGCTTCTGAGTTGTGGACACAGGGAGAGTGGGATACAAATCCAATAAAATAAAAATAAATATTTACATGTATTTTGTAAATTTTGTGCCTGTGTAAGCCGCCCTGAGCTCGCGTGCAGGGAGGGCGGGGTATAAATGAAATAAAATAAATAAATAAATAAATAAATATTTTATTCCTTTATACCCCACTTTCTCTTATCTACACACACTTGGAAAATTTTGAACTGGCAGCAGACTAAAAATAATTAATACATGGATTTGGGAGTTAGTGGTGGGAGACAGAAGCTGAAAAATATATGAACTGGGCCTTGTTTTACTTTGCGCCCCCAGCCATCTCTCCCCACCCCGCCACCCCCATTTGTATTTTGGCCATCAGATTTTCAAATGTGTCTGTGCTATCACGAGAGCTAGAAACATGCTTTGTCAGAAAATGCAAGGAAGGCTGTTAGTCAGTAGCCCAGTTACTAAGAGCTATTGCGCTGAGGGCAGACACATCAAATATGGGGCATATAGCTTTCAGTGCTGTTGTGAAAGATCAGTTCTTAAATGGCCACTTGTACAGCAGCACACCCCAACCTTAGCATTGATGTAACAGCTACCTCTGAACAAGGGCTGAACCAACTTGATCTGTGCCCATTGACTCCCAGGCAAACCAAAACAGCAAACTTTAAGTTCCATCCCCCCACCCCACCCAGCCTAGTGGCAACAGAGGCTCACTCAGATTTCTGCCTGTTTGATCACTAGCTTCACACTCCTATTTGCCTGGTAAACATGCTGCAGAATGAAGTCCTTGAGGTCTGGGATGGTGGGAAGGTGGACCACTTCAGGCTGAATGTGGGGGTACTACTTTTAACATTGTGATTCCTTGTAACAAGAAAATTAGTACTTGGGGAGAGCAGTTCTACCTTAGCCAGCCTGATGCTGTGCTAGGTTTTTTTGGGTTTTTTTAGTTGCAAGGATTTTTTTCAAAAACAAACATGGGAGAGCATTCAAAAAATGTGATTCTCCACCTGCAGTCTGAAGTGGTACAATCCATTCAACCCCTTCAGAACTCTGCGTGCCTCATTCTGCTGCACACACGCAAATAGCTTTCAAGCTATTTATTTATTTAGGATGCTTCTGTGCTGCCTCTTCAGCGTCCTGCTCGAAGTGGATTACAATTAAAGTCACCATAGTACTAAAAACAAGCTATTGGTCATAACCAACATACAACAGAAGCAGACCATTAAAAAACTGAGAACTTCCCTAATTTAAAAGCTTGTGTAAAAAGATGTGTTTTGGCCTGGTGGCTAAAAAAACAGTTAACTCTAGGTGCCAGGGAAGGCCACTCCAGAGGCAAGCTGCCACCACAGAAAAGACAATGTCTCTAGTCACCAGCTGCCTGGCCTCTGAAGGAGGGGACACTGAGTGCAGGGTTGAGAGGCAGATATTAACTGGCGGACTGGATAGGCACTCAGGAGTAAGTGGCTGAGGTATATAATAAGAGAGGTCATTGGTCACACATTCTGTTGCTTCCACTGATAAAAAAGAAGAAGATGATGATATTGGATTTATACCCCGCCCTTCACTTGGAGTCTCAAAGCGGCTTGCAAACTCCTTTCTCTTCCCCTCCCCACAACAGACCACCCTGTGAGGTAGGTGGAGCTGAGAGAGCTCTTTCAGGAACTGCCCTTTCAAGGACAGCTCTTGTCAAAACTATGGCTTGCCCAAGGTCATCCAGCAGCTGCAAGTGGAGGAGTGGGGAA